ATGATGATGATGATGATGATGATGATGATGATGATGATGATGATGATGATGATGATGATGATGATGATGATGATGATGATGATGATGGTTGTCCTGGAGATGACGCTGAGAATACTGTTACCAGAATGTTAGGTTAGGCTTGCGTCACACTCCATCTAACATTTGCGTGACTCAATTCTGCGTTACTTTCAAAGTTGTCCATATTTGTTTATCACTGGCCTATTTATTGACGACTAAGTTGTCACCAAGACCGTTCATGAGGAAATTAGTCTTATCTGGTGCCCTATTCAGTTGTGTTTATTATGGGAACACCGATAAGCATATCCGCTCTCGCATTTGGGTACACACACTGATACTCAGTTTCAAAGTAAAAACTGACTTAGTCAGGCACAGACCTGTTTGATCATCCAATTGAATTGAACTCAGTTGTTCGGGAAAAAAGTATATTTACCGCGAAATGTGCTGCCTTCTGTCCTACCCGATGAGTCATCCGAAGTTGACACGTGACATTTTCTGTGATCAGAAAATTCATCAATTCTTTTCATCCACAGACGGGCAACGCTGAGTGTACTGCAGCTGCTTGTTCAACGTCGACATCAGCAGAAACATCTGGAATGCAAAATTGACAACACCGATGAATTCCGGTCGGCTGTTTTACCAACCGTATCCGCAGTTATCGAGCCTATGTGTAAGTTTATCTCATTTGGTTCCATTTTGTGACTCAAGGTCAGCTGGATAAGTACATTCTTGCATTTGATTTCTCTTCAATATGCCTGGTAACTCCTCTTATGCGGAACTCGAAAGATGTTCATCCACATGAAACGAAGTACTTTCACCTCTCGAATCATTTGGTTGATACGGTTATTCATGGATAAGGTGAACGTGATCTCCAAGACAGCAAAAATTGTCGGACGCAACGACTGGTGTGGCCAGATTCTCGACACCCGATTGCACATTCCCTAAGGTCACCAAATGTACCAACGTGTACTCCATTCAATTGTGTACCAATTAGTTTAAAAAAGTGTCCCGGTGCAAACCTCACATTGTACACATGATTCGGGGCTATGTGCCAGCTGAGGAACTTTGATCTCTTCGTATTTCGTACGGTTTTTGACAGAAAATCTCTAGGACTTTTGGGGAAACAAGCCAGCTAACGTTCATTGTTTTATATGCTGTGGTTGTGTTACAAATCATGAGGAATCGTTATTATGAGAAAGTTGAAAAACCTGGTAAAGTCTCATCAATTTACCAACCAAATCTTCGTTTGTGAGAGACGAGGGCTAACCGCTTGTGTAGATTAACCAACGTAAGAGGAGAGCCAGTCGACTAAATTCACTATATAATTTCATTAAGTCATTTGAAAGAACAATTTGGCAGATGGTTTTTTGCGGTGCAGACAGTCTTTACACCTGATGGCAGTCCAAGGAGATGTACACCACATGTCACTGCCCAATTTTGAGCGTTCCTCACATTTGAACTCGACAGTACGGATTCATCGAATTGGATTACAATTGTCAAGTGGCCCAAAGGTGTGCAAAAGTATCCGAGTTACAAAGACCAAGTGCGTCTGAAGACTCCTCAAGCTTCCTTTGAATTTACTTTCGATATTGTTATCTTCAGATGAATCAAAAAGACCCCAAAGAGGGTTTAATAAGTTCCAAGCTTGTGTTGACATTCCGAAGATTTACTCGTCGTTACTACTGAGGATTCGTTCATAGCCACACCACTCTCGTTTGAACAACCGTGTTCCTGTTCTGGCGTAATTATTCCGGTGAGTCCACACCAAAGGGAAGCACTGGACTCGAGTTTCCCTCTTTTAGAGATGATCAGCAGTGTATATCCAATGACCGTGCCGGGATTTGAACCCCGGACATCTGACATGCGAGGCGAGCGTGTGACCACTACTCCACCAACGCACGTTGGACGCATCTGAATTATCACGTCTGAACAGGAGGACGTGTTCACACTTGAGCGATGTGATTGGTGTGCCCGACTCATCGAACGACGAGGATTCACCTCGAAGATTACCTTATTATTCCTGCTAAACTAAAGTATAATTGGAAAAGTGGAAATCCATCTTCAAGGTTCAAAGCTTCACCGAATCGCACCTGATTGACGCGGAATTTCGGTCTTGCGAAACAGGTTGTATACTTCTGTAGGTTAGCTTGTCGCCAAAGATCGCGTGGCCAGTAACAAGAGCCTCATCCGACTGAAATTTTGAGATTGACTACAGTTTTTCCGAAAAAAAAATCAACATGTCATTCACTTGGTTAGACTAACAAACTGTAGGTTTGGCCACATTTGAATTAATAATTGCGTCTGTTGATGATCGACTCTACTGATTTAAAGATTATCGAATGAAGGCACGGTTATCACATGACGTTCTGCACGCGTTTGGCTCCAATTACGATTGAGTAATCGTGGAGATTTTTGCCTATAAATGAAGGTATTCCATGCTCAAACCTGACAGCTACTACAAATCTGTCTCGTTTTAATAGGATATCACCAGCAATATGCATCTGGCAGAAGTCAAAGAGTTTTGAACCTGGGACCTTCCCACCAGTAGTTGAACAGTTAGCTATTCGGCCACGAGCCGATCACCAATGTGACTATTTTGCACACAAACTAGGTGGTGTGGTTTCTGTGATCGCCAGAAGGATCCCGTCAAGGTGGGATCTGCCCGCACTGCTGTTAAGCAGCTCAAGACGGAACGGCCAAGTTTTGAAGCACTGACCGGAGGTCCCGGGTTCGAAATTCTCTGAAATTTGTCGGCTGTGCACGGTTAACGATTCCCAATACGGAAGAAACCGTGTTTCTCAGCTCTTCAAAATAGCTTGGCATAAATTGCAGGATGAACTCGGTATTTCAACTCAAAAGCTCTTCACAAAAGCAATAAATTTTGACTAGAACTTAGGCCTCTCACCATATCCTGAGTGATCTTTGGTATAGCCTCCCAGCACTTGTTTCGGGAAGCTGTTTTCAGTTTTTAAGGTAGTACGGTGGAACGCAGTGATAGGAATTGGACTTCTTCCAGTAGTGAAGTGAGGAAAAAGGTAAAAAGATATATGAACTCCGAACATTATTGGACAAGTCTACAACTCGCATATACGTAATACACTACTCATGAGGTTGCCGAAAACTCTTCGACAGCACACGACCGGTTTCATCCTTTTTGAGGCTCCTCAGGTAGGCGCAGTCATTGAGTTTCCGTCAATCTTAGGTTCCACTAGAACTGAAATTGCACGAAATTAGCGAAATACACGCATTTGCAAACAAATTTGGCTTTGCGAGAGACTCACCTGGAACCCGGCTGAATCTCTCGTTTATGATGTATATCTCGACATCTCGAATATCGTGCCAACTGAAACACGAGGTGGTCTGGTACAGCACATCTAGTTGCCTGGGTTTTCTAGTGAGTCTCTCGCGAAACCAAATTTGTTTTTAAATGAGTGTATTTCGCTAAAGTCTCTATCTGTTCACTAATCTGTATATGAAAAGCAAACTAACTAACGACTTCTAAGAGGAAGTTTCACTCATCGAACGAAGGTTATTCTTCCACTCAGCTACTTATAGATAATAGAAGTCGTTGCTCGAGGAGCCAGTCAACACATGTGACTACGTGATGTGGATCCCTTGATTGAAGAATGAGCGGCGCTATATTCTGTCTAAGTGCGAGTTAATCACACTGCTGATCAGCCACTCGTGGCCCAACGGTTAAGTGTTCAAACTACTAGCCGGGAGGTCGCGGGTTCGGGACTCTTCAGAGTTTTGTGAGATGTGCACTGCTGATGATTCCCAATAAGGATGAAACAGCTGTACAGTGCTTGTCGGCTTTTCAGCATAGATTGGCTTCACTTACAGGACGAAATCTCCACACGCACAAAACTACCATTTGCTTCCTAAGCAAGAGTCGTAACCTTACAAAAAGCTGAATTTAGCACCTCAAGTGGCGAGTTCTCAGGAATGCTCCATGCTTCATACTATAGCTGCTTTATGTTTTGACGCTACCTGCGTTGAGTGGAGTTCATTTAGGCCTGTCGTATTACATGTTCGAAACACAAGGGTAATTCAAATGACAGCACTGTAGGTTGTTACGTTATAACGATTCTCATATAATAATAGTTTGTCTGAATAGCATTTTTTTCGGAAACCGATGCAAATTGATTGTAGAGTTTCCCGAAACAAAGCTGCTCACAGGGTCAATTAAGGCTTTTACATAAGGGAACACAGACTGTCCGAACCTGCTACTCGTGTTCACAGCTATCAGAAATTTCAAACAGCTTCTTTCGGTTAGAAGGTGAAAATGAGAAGGTCTCAATTTCCATCCATATTTTGGCATAAAACCATGTTGCAACTATATACGATCAAGTCTGTCACTTGGTTTGGTTTGGTTTTATGAACCATGACTGTAGACATTTTCTTGTGACACTTGTATTTGTGACAGATGTGGAGCGAATCGACGTTACAGGCTAACATGGCAGCCAAACGGAAGAGATGCGAGAAGGCACGACCGCCCAAGTCCAGTGCATAGCGACCACCAATCCCCCGTCGCCAGTTTACAGGTAAACAAACCTCCGTATACATCTGTCCCATGGTTTACCTTAGCCTATTCGGGTACATTTTTGTTACCGTACTATACTTCAGTCTGTTTGTTTGCCACATGGATGTATTCCGATGAGCTGTGTTTCGCTTACCTCACCACAAAGTTTGACATCGTCGATCAAAATTTCCTGACAATATATTTTTAATAACCAAAGCTTCCAAGCGTAAAAAAACTAATCTCCCCTATGGCATGCATCTCCGTGGAAGCGGAAACTCAAATCACCCTGTCTTAGAAGTTGCCAACCGGGTTCTTTCAAAATTTTTCAAGCCGGGTGATTGACTGATCTTCGAATGGAGACAAGAATGGAAATAAGGAGACATGAGCTCCTTTCACCCCAGCGGTCAGAAAATGAAAACTGACAGACTAGCGCACCGGATCATGATTAGCATTTCCTTATTAATTAAAAAAAACTTGTGTATAATCACCATATCCCCCGGGTAAAGTCACGTGGTTACAGGTTAGTCGGTCAATAAAGATACTGGTCCTTGTCTTGTCGTTGACTGCAGATGCCTACTCATAGATTTGGAGACCAGATAAAAGGCTTGAGGTGGCCATCATTGTAATTTTTATAGCGACAGAGGATCATAGATACTTGACATCATCAGATTTTGTGTCTAACGACCAAAGAAGCTGACTAGGAAGCACCTGGTTCACCAGTATAGATAAACTGCAGGATATTGGCTTTAGGTTGAACACTGTGAGCGCAAGGTCGTCTAAGACCCGAACTGATCCATTCACCTAAAGGAGGTACTTGACCAAAGTCTTGATTCATCAGAGGCTATGAAGCTCTGAAATCCTTTAGGAACATCGGACAGTGCTGCTATCCA